GGGGAGGGGGAGGGGAGCATGCACATACAGCTAATAGGAAATACAGATGCAGATGCATGTGTGGGTGACATACATGTTCATACACACATGTGTGTGCTCTCCCACAGCGGAGAGCACGCCTGGCCCCAGATCTTGGTTTCCTAAACATAATTTTCCGCTAAAAGGACCAGGGCTCCTTGGAGAAACAGGTGGCCCCAGGGCTCGGGCCAAGAAAGGACAAGATGACCCTGTAACACCCTATGTAAGGGAGGACCCAGGGAATGAGGACATTTCAAAAGGTCAGAGAAGCCAAATCTGGGACAATCTGAGCATTAAAATAAGTAATGACTGTAATGGATTATACTCCAAAAACCAGAAATCAATGAGTGCATACTGCTATCTGGCAATGAACAAACAAGATGAAGTGACAGGAACCAGACTGACACACCACCTGAAACAACCTCCCAACTCCTCCTCTCCCCTCCCCCCAAAAAAAGTGAATCAAGGGTTTCCAAGACCATGGACACCAGGCGATGAAGAACAGTGATTCCCAGGAGAGCAACAAGCGTGGTGCGCCCTGCGAGTGGCACGGCTGACTGCCTGGAGGGTTTCCGGACCACCCCGCAGGGAGGGGCTGAGGCAGAGCCTGGCAGACACCCGCATGAAGGAGGCAAAGCTGAAAAGTCCTGGGAGATGAAGGCAGCTGACTTCCAAGGAGGTCAGAGTACCGGACAAGAGAGCAGCACGACAGACCCCGGACATCTGCAGAGGGCCCTCAAGCACTCAACAGGGAACTGACCAGCACATGCGTGTAGGCACTGCCCAGGCCCATGGGAGACCCCTCAGACAGGACCAGGCGGGAACAGTACCTAATCTCACAGGCCAGAATGGAAAACCTTCTAATTCACAGGACATTGGGTCCAGACCTCAGGAAATAAGGAATCATTAGTCCAAGACTGGCCACTGCTCCAGACCCACCAAATCATAAAAACAATTCCCAAAAAGATCAAACTTAATAAGTAACTTAGTTAAATAAAGATCAAGAAAATTTCTAGGATTCCAAAAATGCCATCACCAAACAAGATAAAATTCACAATGTCTGGTATCCAATAAAAAGAACTGCCAGGCAGGCAAAGAAATAAGAATATGTGATTCACAATAAGTAGAAAAATCAATCAATAAATAGAGTCAGAAATGACATAGACAATAGAATTAGACAAAGCTATTAATAGTTATTGTAACCACATTTCATATGTTCAAGAAGGCAGAGGAAAGACTGATGTTAATTATACAGAAACATGGAATCCGGTATTTTAAAGAGGAGGAGGAGAAGGAAAAAAAGACACACATGGAACTTATAAAGAGGAAAGCCATGATGCTAAACTGAAAAGCACACTGGGTAGGATTAAGGGCAGATTAGATACTGCAAAAGAAATGATCAGTTAACTCGAAGACAAAGAAACAGAAGTTACCCTAATGAAACACAGAAAAAAAGACTGATAAAAGCATCAACACAGCATCAGTGAGCTGTAGAGCCTCAAGTGGCCAAATATATAAGTAACTGGAGTCCCCAAAGCAGAGAAGAAAAAGGGAGGAACAGAAAAAAAATATCTGAAGAAATAATGACCAAAAATGTACCAAATTTGATGAAGATTATAAACCCAGAAAGCCCAAAAAAAAAAAAAACCCAAGCACAGAAACATAAAAATTACAACAAGGCATAGCATAATCAAACTGTCTAAAACCAATGATAAAGAAAAAAAAAATCTTAAACCACCAAAAGAATAAAAGACACCTTATGTACAAAGTAACAAAGACCAAAAAAATTTTCTCATGGAAACCAAAAGACAGTGGAGCAACATCTTTCAAGTGCTGAAAGAAAGAAAAAAGAACTTTCCATCTAGAATTCTATAGCCAGTGAAACATTCCCCCAAAATAAAGGCAAAATAAAGACTTTCTTGGATACACAAAAGCTGAAAGAATTCATCACCCACAGCCTGCCCTACAGAGGGTGGAGGAAGTCCTTCGGGCAGAAGGACACGAACCCCATTGAATATCTGGAAGCATACACAGCAAAGGGGGCGCCAGAAACGGTAAGCGTGAGGGCAACTGCCAAGACCTGTTTCCTTTGTCTAATCTCTAAACATAACCGACTGCTGAAAGCATAGTAACTCCACGA